GATAAGAATTTTACTACTAGTGCTTATTCATGTGTTTAATATATACAAGCGAGCGTCTCTACTGGCATTTTTAACTAAATGCTAGATAATGAAACTTAAGCTAAATTTTATTACATAAGTTTCTTCTAAGTCATGTAAAACAATTGCTTTAAATTTATGCTTTATTTGCAATAATATGCTTTATTTGCAATAATATGTAAAGGTATGGAAATAAATTTAAATAAAAAATTACGTGAAAATTTACAGTAAGAATTAGAATTCTCAATACAGTTTCTCTGTATTCTAAAATATATTTTTTATACAGAAAAATATTTGAGAATCCGTAATGCGATTTAAACCTGTCAACAAAGAGAGCGCATCGTTCCGCAATTAAAATCTGCTGTGCACGTTCGCGATTTAGTTTTTTTATCAAAAAGGTTACAAACATTCGATAACGCGTAAGATTAGGCATTTTTTTCTTTCAGTTAATTTTAATTAATTTGATTAAAAACAAACTCTTTTTAATTTTGTACAGAATTTAATGGAAGTTACGAGAATCATATGTATAATATATTCCTACTTGGTTAGTAAATTACTTCATACGTTTTTTCCATTAAAAATTACAACAAGATCGTTATCGCAAAGGTCTTTCGATCGTTTGAAAATTGACAAAAGAAAGAAAACGTAGATTGTTGTAAAGAAACTAACTTAACGTACGTATAGTATTGATAAGGAATTGAACAAGTGATTTTTGATCCATGCTTTCTTTTATCAGGCGACGGACGAGAAATTGAAACTTCGAACGCGTATAGACGAAGAAAGGGTTGAGCGGTGGAAAGTTCGATGACTTACAATAATCACGCGACTATCACGCGCGTAAAATTAATTGGAATAAAAATAATCGATTTTTCCGATCGCGCCTTCATATTCATCAAAGAGGGGAAAGAAATACAATAACATTGCAACGTATATACGCGTGATTTTCTCAAAACACATGATGTTAAATTATGGTCCAAAATCGAATTATATCATCGTTTCAAACTTTAGCAGATAAATTTTTTATTTCAGTTTAAATCTATTTTTTACAGTTATTAAATAAAATATTTTTTAACAATTAAAATCTTATTGAAGCTCGTTAAGTTACTAAACTAAAAAATATATTACGGTCATCCGAGCCGATCGCAGGATGTTGTGCGGAAAACTGCGTATATATATATATATGCATATATATAATTGTTCGCGTGTAAATTTTTACACGCGAGTTTTTTGAATTGAATATTAATTCTTAAATTCAAAAATTTACACGCGAACAATTATATATATGCATATACATATATATATAATATATATATGGACCGTTTATTTTGAAAGTGGTGTAAGTCCATTTTTGAAAAAAAAAGAGATATCACGTAATTCATAATTCATAATTGACAGATATGTTAACCTATAAGTTTCTCGAAACAAAAGAAAAAATGGACTTACACCACTTTCAAAATAAAGGGTCCATATATACGCAGTTTTCCGCACAACATCCTGCGATCGGCTCGGATGACCGTAATATATTTTTTAGTTAAAATATTTTTTGATTGCAATCGTTATTGTGTTTCTTGTTTTTAATTTCGTTTGCACATTAAATATTTCTTATTTCAGTAGAGAGAGAATTTTTGCCATTATACTTTATATGTGTACGCAGAGAAATATAAGAAGAAGAGATAAAGAAACAAAAACCAGAAAGAGTATGTATGAGAAATATACTCAATTAAGGTCTCCAAATTACCTACAAGGATGAGCGTTCTTCCAGAAGAAACGTTGGCGGCGAGCTTTTTGAAGAGTGTTAAATTGATAATTGGTACCAATTCTGTTCTCGTCAATTGTCGAACGCCTTGATTAAACTTTTTTTTTGTTCTGAAAGTTTTCGCATGTTGTTACGATTGATGTGTAGCATCAAATTACTTAGTTAATCGAACACGATTCAACGCTTGTCACACGTATTCGCTGAAAATTAATGAAATCTGATATAATACAACTCTCACTTTTTTTTCAATTTTTAATGTTTCTAAGATTTTAATAGATTTCCCAGCAATTATATAACAACAACAACCCCACTTATCTTGTATACAAATTTTCCTCAATTAATCGTTAAAAACAATGTATTTAAATTTATGGAAACTAAAATTGCGCACGTAGAGTCTATCGTGCGCAATATATATTTGATTGGAATAATTAATTCAGATTTAATTCAAATCGAAGGTAAAAAATAAAACGCGCCAGAAAGACCGACCGTTTCCCCCCCCCCCCCATCTTCTTCTCCATAAGAAAAAGGGAGAGATTAGATGGCCCTGTATCCGTTACGTGCTCGTCTTTCATCCTCGACGCTGTGCTTATAGACTGCCATGATGCACCGTCGTGTAGTTAAGTTAATTAATGAATGGTACAGTCGGGCTGGAGAGTGGACTTAAATTGATACGTCCTTCGCCGCTCGCGCGCGGCCACTTTCGTGCCGCAACTACCGCTCTTGCCACCGCCGTCGACTCGTCGTCGTCGCTCGGATAGGGATGCTTAGAATCGTATCGAAGTATCGGAACTGAGCATTTTTTTAGTGTGTGATTATTTGATCTCTTTTTGCGTGTGTATTGGTTTTATTTAATATTTGTTATTAAAACGTCAATAAATTTGAAAAATACCAGATGAAAAATATTTTTCATTCAGAATATATTAATAATTCAAGTTGTTTTCAATCAAAAAAAATATTTATCACCACCGATACTCCGTGTTAATTTTTTAGACTAAAATAGACGGAGCGCTGTGAACGCGTTCTATTAATCCTAATCGCACGCCTACTGCGAGTTTCGCGAAGTTTCTTGCGCTTCCGATAAATTGACAGTTTGTAACGTGAAATTGCGCAAACGGCAAGGATGTACACGTGCGCCGCATCGCGAAGAATGCAACGAGGTCACCGATAAATCGACGCGTCGACGTGAAAAAAATTTGAAGACCGCGTAAATTGAATAGCGTGAAATCGTGTTGTTTGAATTCTTCTCAATTAGCACGCTTAGCGCATCAGCTATTACACGGTATTCGTTTTTATCGGCGGTGAAAGTGACGATCGATCAGACTTGAAAGCTTCAGGTGAACGCGCAAAATTACCATTGAAGTTTGTAGCGAAAGAACGTCCGCAAAAAGTTGAAGAATTGCGGAGAAGATAATAGCTTGTGATAAAAAAAAAAAAAAAAAAATTTCGGTTAAGAAAACCGTTACGTTTGCGCTTCTTACACACATAGGGTAAAAGACCCAATTACTGTCACCTGAATAATAAACTTTGGCGAATTGTTTTTACTACTTGTTTATCAAAAACATGTGTTTTTTTTCTTATCCGGTATTATTCGATGTCTCTGATATGAGGAACAAAATAATACCGCCTCTCAAAAAATCTCTATTTTTTTATTTATAAATTTAAATAATTAAAAAAGAAACGATGCGAGAGCCATTACCGTCACCCCCTAAAATGAAAGAAATGAGACGCGAATGTTGAGTGCTGGATTTTTTGTTATATTAATTGCACTCAAAATTCTACGTTAGATTGTTTTCATGCGTAACTTTTTAGGATTTTAACAATTAAAGCTTATTGAAGCTCGATAAGTTAATAAACTAAGAAATATAATTACGGTCATCCGAGCCGATCGCAGGATGTTGTGCGGGGGGTAGATGGGATCTCTCATATATGTGATGCAAATCTATATGAAGCATCCAATATGAATTTAAGAATTGATATTCAATTCAAAAAACGCGCGTGTAAAAATTTACACGCGAACAAATATATATATATACGCGGTTTTTTCCGCACAACAATCCTGCGATCGGCTCGGATGACCGTAATTATATTTTTTAGGATTTATTTAATATTTTAAATAAAATAGCTTAGGGTGACAGTAATTGGGTCTTTTACCCTAAGATCCCGAGTCGAAATTTTGACTCTCTGATGAACCTCTCATTCTACTATATATAGAAGTTACGATAGTAAAGTAGGTTCAATTGCAAGGATAAAATTTGCGCCTACTTTCAACCTAAAAGTGTCACAAATTTCCATTTTCTTCAAGTTAGGTTTAAAGTAGTACTTTGTAAACGCGTGTTGTAATTGGTAATAATAAATTACTGGCGCTTCATTTAAATTAAAACAATTGTATTAAACGAGTGACAGCGTAACGTAACGATTGTAATAAAATAGTTACGAGATACGCGATTAAAAGTTTCCATAAATAACGTCGATAATCTTCAGCAGAAGCCGCAATGTTGTAATCGACTACTTAATCGCGCTATATTGCGTACTTATCGTTTGAGCATTCCGACATATATATGCCGCGGACTGTAAAGTCCAAATAAATAAACTACTGTCACTTCGCATTTCTCGAATTGGGACTCTGTGGGACTTATTCAATCCGACAATTCTCAATTTTCGCCCGCGCAAAAACGCGCACCGTTTCTTATCTCTTCTCTCTCGCGGCGTAGGTAGATAATCTTCATATTGGAATATGCAAACCGCAATTCAACGCAATAATGTTTCTCTGAGATATATATTTCACGAAACAAAAGTGAACAAGATCAATGTTATTGTAAGATAAAAAAAAAAAAAGTAATAATAACTTATATTATCAATCGCGATCAGATTACGTCATCACGCCTGTGTTCGTTTCAAAAAGTGTGCAGATTATATTATAGGTCTACCGGAAAGTTCTGTCCGTTTTTTGGAATAAAACAAAATACAAATTTTTCTTAAATTTTTCAAAAATGGGATATACAATTAATTGCCCTCGCGCTGGCAAGAAATCATTTAATAACAATGGCAATTATATTACTTAAATAAAGTTTATTGACGGTAAGAAAAATAATTGTATTTTGTTTTATTCCAAAAACGGACAGAACTTTCCGTTAGACCTAATATATCATTATTTCTTGCAATAACATTCCAAAGTTTTTGAAATTATATTAATTGCAAGAGATAAAGAAAGAAGCGTTTTACTAACCGTGTCGTCGAAGCAGTTGGAAGCGCATTCTTCCAATACTTTGAGGCTGACCGGAGCGGCGCGATCGTCCGGATCTTCAACGAGCGCGATGGTCCGTGCCGCCATCAGCAATATCTTCAACACCAAGAGAAATAATATCTTTCTAAACATGATGATTTTCATTGATCCTTGCGTTGTGCACTTTGGCTGATATAATTTCAATGATGTTCCCCGCGCGCCCTGATTTTTGGTCTTGGCGCGCTTTAGTTTCGTTTTAGTTCCATGGCTCTCTCTCTCTCTCTCCTCTTCTTCTTGATCTCGATCTTCCAGACGCTTTAACTCCAATGCTTCCTTCAGTCTTTCTTCGAAATCCTTTGCAAAGTCACGTGCTCCGTGATCGTATCAACAAGTGCGTCAGAGTTCGCGGACAGATTGGCTATTTCCGTTAAACGTCCGGTAGACAACGGCGACGACGACGATGACGCCCGGCGTTACCACCAGGCAAAAAATCGGCGGGGCTGTGACTGCGAATTTGAATGCCGCTGTTGAATTATTTAAATAAATTATTCAAACAACAACGAATCATTTGCCGGAAAACATTATTTTGCCCGAAGCATATACATGTGTCCTTATCAATATACATATAATTTTTTGTTATCGGGAAAGAATCGTTTGCGCGCACAACAACCGCGCGCGGGATTTAATTGCCTCACCGTTGCATGAATTTTTCCCGCCGATCGGTCGAGAAGTTTCTCACGATTAAATTATAAAACTGCTGATAAGTATGTATCAGAGTCTGTTTTTCTTGCTAGAAATAGCCAATATCAAACGCAAAGTGACGTATGCGACGCGTAACATATGCACCAGTACGAAGTATAATCAAGTTTCTTATGTGTGTTATATTAATATTTCACACAGTAAACGTGTATTAAATAAATAATGTCACATATAATGTCTTGTTATTGAATAAAAGCAAAATAATCCGGAGATAAAGAAAGATCGTTGGACTGCGTCGATATTTCGCCCGACACACCGTGCAAAGTTCACTCAAATGCGCTCAAACTACGACTTCAAGGCACTGTCAAGGAATTCACTGCATCGGCGAACATTCATTTTTCGACCTTTCCAAAATCCAGAGTCAGAGTTTTTTTAATCAAACTCGCGCATCGATTCGCCGTCTCATTCCCTTCGTCCCGATTGTTCGCAAGCGTATATAAAAAATATGAGACTCGCGGAGTTTTAATTGTTCCACAAATAGTATTTATTGTCAAAAAAATTCTCTTTCCATCGCAGTCTATATAGTGACTAGATAATTATTTTGGTATTGGTTAATTTTGCTGTTTACACACTTGAAAATTCGCTTTTAGTTTGTAATCACCCGGTTAAAAGCACGCAAGCGGCGGCGCGATTGGCGCTGTTCGTAACTGGCGAGCATAAAAGCAACTGACTACGGACTCGGAATATAGCTCTGCAGTCAACCATACAGAGTCAACCATCTCCCACCACGCGCTCACGAGCACCCTTATTTCCTTGCATACACCCTGCTCGCAACTAATTTTCCAAGATGAAGATGTTCGAACATTCGTATTCTTCGCAAGGGGAGAAAAGAACGAATTAATTTTTCATCCGCATATAACATTTATATAACACAATTAGTTACGACTCTTTACCTAGGGAAAAAATGGATTAAATCTAAATAGATCTAATTTAAATCTAACAAGATAAAAAAAAATGGAAAAATAGATCTAATTAGATCTAAATAGATATGAAGTTGATCTAAACAGATATAAATAGATCTGTGTAAATTTACACTTTATTTATCAGTATATCTATTTTAGATCTATAGTAGATTTACTCAGATTTATTATATTAGATCTAAGCAGATCTAAACAAAACTAAGCAGATCTGAATAGATCTAATATAGTAGATCTGAGTAGATCTAAAGTAGATCTAAATGATAAATAAAGTGTAAATTTACATAGATTTACTTATATCTATTTAGATCTACTTTATATCTATTTAGATCTAATTTGGATCTAATTCAGGGACTTATTACCGGTATGATTTCAATACCGGTATTATACTAGAGATTGTATACCGTTACCGTTATAGTACCGAAACCGATATGTACCGAAAACCGTAATAAAATACCGGTATTATTTCGGTATTCCTACTAATGGTATTCTTAAAAATTAGATAAGTTAATTAAAGCAATTTTTGTTGCATAATTAATCTTCCTACCGCTTATTGGACTTATAGACCGACAAAATATAAAGACGCTTTTTTTATAAACCAATTGAAGCAGCTGTTTATTCATGCTTTTTTTTATTACGTAGCATGACTAATGTAAAGTGAAATTTTTTAACAAATTTGGATATTGATAAATATGTCTATGTGTATTTTGTTACTGTTCTTAATTATATTAATTATTGTTACTGTTCTTAATTATACAAAAAAATAATAATAATTTAAATAATATTAAGTTTCTGTGCGGCAGTTTTTTATAAACATTATATTATTAAAAAGTGTTATCAACATAATGACAACACTTATAGTTTTAAGATATTACTTTTTAAAAATCACGAAAAAATTATCGCTAAATATGGGTAAATATACCGGTATGACGTCATACCGGTATTTCTGCATTTCGGTTTGCATAAGGGTTTTCATAGTATTACCCAAAAATATCGGTAAAATACCGGTATTTTGCATACCGGTATAAGTCCCTGATCTAATTAGATCTAGTTTTCCATTTTTTTTATCTTGTTAGATTTAAATTAGATCTATTTAGATTTAATCCATTTTTCCCGGGTACAATCAATAATTCGCACGTGTCGCTATAAGTAATTGTAGCTAGATTATCATCTACGTTTTCGAAGATTTCAAGAAAAAACAGAACACTTCGGGAATTTTATTTTAAATTATATCAGTTAGAAACAGTTGTGCAAATTGTTTTTTTTTCATTTTTCGAAATTTCGGAATGTATTTTGCGGAATAAAATATCTCGTGATGTTTTCTAACGACATGGTACGTTTCTTTTGTAACTTATTTTTTTTTTTTTTTTTAAATATGTTATTAGTTCAAATTAGAAAAATGCATTTAAAACGCTATTCGATTTTTTCAATTTCTAACACGTTGTTGATGCAATATCGTAGTTTGTAAAATGCAATAATTAAATCAAGTGTGAGACGGTTTTTTCTCGCAAAATCTATTGGCTTTCCATTCACTGTGCTCCGACACGGTCTACTGTATAAGCTCATGAAAATATGATAATTTATTTCAACAGATTTCATCTGCGACAAACAAAATATACATGCGGCGCCATTGTTAGGTTTTTTACAACGCTTTTTCCTTCGGTTAAGAACTCGCGCGGATTTCTCTTTTACTGAGAGAGCGCATATCTAAAACATCGATTTCTCGATCTTTGACATACGCTCAGTTCAAACAACTCTTTGCAACGGTGTTATTGAGAGCAAACAAACAATTGTTGATGTATAATGTGTATGTGTGTGTGTGTGGCTGCGGTATTTCAAATATTACATTTTTTCAAGGTTGGGTAAGTTAAATTTTTTTTTATTTAAGTTAAGTTACAATTAAAGGTCTTAAAAATTTTATTTAGTTAAGATATAAGTTAATCCATAATAAAATTAATTGATTAAAAGTTAAGTTAATAAAAAAAGTTTTTAATAAAAAAAATAATTAACAAGTTAAAAGTTAAATTTTT